TTCGTTTTGCAACTCCTGTAGAGAGAAAAATGTGGTTGTGGTTCAGAGTAACCTCCTAGGGTTCCTGAGCTTCATTATTCAAGAGGCATTATAGCTATTCTAAATACTTCACCTTGAATAATAAGTAGATTGATGTAAACCTCTGAAGCCAAGAACTGAGTTGTTTTACCATGAGTATTTCTGGGGGGGGGGACCTACATATTTGTGTAAAAAGGCAGTTCACTTGTGCTCAGTTGAGATCTGTCTGACATGTGGCTCTGAGCTTAGTCCTAGTGTAAATTTGTAGTAATTAAAGTTAACTTATCAAAATGCTTTGGGGGAGACGTCTAAAGATTAGTGTCACCATTGATGGTTCACTAGCATCTAGTGATCTAGGTGTGAGATGGCATAGAAGGATACAAAAAAAGTACCGATATCACTCCCAAGTACAGAAAGGCTCCACATTTTACTTGTTGGCTGATAGGTGTGGCATAAAACATTCACTTAGTCTGCCTTCATTATACTTACCTGGGAGTAAGTGCTCTACTGACCACAGTCGGACTGACTTCTGAGTACAAAAGCATAGGATGGCACTGTTACACTGCATAAGCCGCTGTGAACTCACTATAATACTGTTTCCTAAAAATCTAATTTTTAATTTGTTGTTACATTCCCTATTTAAATATCCTCATGTATTGATTAAACTTTTACAGCATTGCTCTATCTTTACAAAACCTGTAGATAGGCTACATAGCTAAGAATCCAAGCATTGCATGCTATTAACTTAAGGGACAAATAAAGTGGAATGGTGCATTTCTGAGATGGCTAACTGGTATTCGGTTCAGATGCAACTATTTGGGCAATGGTAGGTTAACACTGGCAGGTTGACCTTTGGAAGCTGCATTCATATTTTTTTTATTGCATTGAGCGTGTCCTTTGGAAAGATACCTCTGGCGTGAATTGTAAGCTAATCCACAGTATTCTGCCATGTTGGTGCATCAAAGCTGTGGTATGAGTTAAATGACATCGCAGCTTTGCATTGGTATTAAATTGTGGTCCTGGATTCAGTTGCTAACTTGCTCCAGGTTGAGGGTCTGAGTCTAAACACATTATTCAAGGAGGGTAGCAAAAGATGATAGGGAGCAGAGTTGATGAAGACTAGGAGACTAGGAGAAGCGGGTGTAAGTTGGACCAATTCCACAATATCCCATGCACATCAGCATGTTGAGGCATGTCATAGGGGAGTTTCCTGTGCCCCTGGTTTCATGCTTTAGTGCAAATCTGGAACTAGAGGATTCAGTACCAAGACAAAAGGTGCGTCATAGATTTTTCTATTATGAATAATACAAAAGATGCACAATAGATTTCACACCATAGATTTCCATGAGAACTGCACCACAGCCTACAATTCACCACATCCACAAGCTGTGCAAGCCACCAGCAGCATGAGAAAGCATGCTCTTGATTGGACATACTCCCAAACTACTAATCCCTTATTGTGTCCTTAGAAAACAGTCAAATAAAGCTCAAATATTTTGTGGTAGCAGCTCTTGGAAATCCTTTTCAAGGTGGATTGTGTTGGAATACTTTTGCTGTTCCACATGGAACTGCATGCAGTTCCATGGTATGATAGTAGCATTATTCAGGTGTTCAAAAACCAGCAGCTGTAATTGTGTGAGTGATGGGAATGCACCACACTTACCCACCTTCCCCCGCATACAAGGATGTCTATGAATTGAGGACCTGTCTAAAGTAGGACTCCACCTCATGGCAACACTTGACAGGCTGCCCAGTTTCAGATATAATGTCACCACGTGGAAACATTGGGGAGAGGGGCAGAGCAAATTCACACAACCCTCTCATGTGATTGTCACTATATGTTTTTGAATGCTCAGTTAGTGTCTGATAAGATTTGCTGTGAGACAACCCAATTTGGTAAAGATCTGTCTCTTAGGGAGTACAGAAATCAATTCATGATGGAACAACCCCCCGCCTCAAAACCAATATGGTTGTGTGAATCTTGCACCAAAGGAAGTTTGTGTGTTTTGTTCAGCTCTGTTCCCTGCTGAATAACCAACCTTGGACCTTAATCTTTGCAAGACAGGGTTGTATTATGACTCAAATATATGGTGATATCTGTTCAGTAGAATAATCTTACACCAGTTCTTGGCTTGGAATTTAAAATATTGACTAATGGGCTATGCAGAACTAATATAAATCTAAGCCTCAGCATTCTCTAACAAATTTATTGGACAATTACAGACTATTTTGTTAATTCACACAAATGAAAATGTGCATTAGTGATGATTAATTTACCAAAAGGTGGTTAGACTTTGATTCACTCAATTGTCCAGCCAAAGCCTCGGTATCCATTTGCTAATGGTTGCCTATATATTACAAATGTCAGCACACACAAAGTGCCAACCTTGGAACTTTAATTACATATTGAATACATAATTTATTTGAAAGGCAGCTTAGTGGCATAAAACACCGTAATTGTGCTCTACTTGTTCACAAATTAAGCCATTTTATAGATCAGAAGCTTCTGTCATTGCCTGCTTTGGGTTTTCTGCTCTTCTATAGGTTTGACTTACAGCCTAAAGAACTGCAATGTTTCATGCGCATCTGCGGGTGACTCTCCTATAACTTTTTGGAAAATGGCAATTCTCATTTATGTGAAGAATGTGGATATAATGGAATGGAATGTAAACTGACTATGCACATATATGTTTTGGCTCTGCCATACATGTTGTGAAGTCATACGTGCTGTGAAATCATTTCCAGTGAGTACAATAAATTGGCCGCTATATGACCTCAGGAAAGTTCTTTATAGTGGTTCAGATATCTGCTCAATCATGAACACCACTGGATTGTCAATTATCATCTCTGTCTAGCCTACCTCTCAGTGTTGTTGTAGGATAAAATGGGCTACTCCTCCCCGCATATATGCTGCTTGGGGGTCCTTACAGGAGGGGTGGGATAAATATGTGACAATTGTGTACACTGGACTGTGCTTATGCTGGTGAAGCCCTTGATACCAGATGGCATAGAATGTTCACAATTATTCCAAGTCCTCAGACAACAAAGCTCTTAGGACATGTTCAGCCCAGCTGTTGACTGTGGGAGAAGGATAAATTTCCAATTTGGCCAGGATTAAAACATCACACATACCGTATTTTTCCGTCCATAAGATGTCCCCATGTATAGGGGGCCTCAAAATTTAGGAAATAGGGGGGGTTGAGCTTTGGGGGATGATTATTTTTTGGGGGGGGAATGCTGAAAACCACTCACCCACCAGAACGCAGCTCACAACCACTTGCGTCGCTTACAATTGCCGCTTCCAATCTCGGGCTCGGGCTTCGTTCCGGTGGGTGAGTGATTTTCAGCCCCCTCCCCAACAATCAAGCGGCAAAACACCGCTTAAAATCTCAGGCTCATGCCAAAAAAACATTTGCCCGCTCCCCCTCAGCACTACCTGTGTATAAGACAAACCTACATTTTGAACCTCATTTTTGGGTCAAAAAGGCTCGTCTTATACACGGAAAAATATGGTATTCTGTGGGGGAGTCTGAGGACTGGGGTTTGCTGGCGGTCCAGAAACAAAGTGGCTGAAGGAAGGATGCAGAGTAAGTGATGGACCTATGCACAGGCACCTGAGGGAAGAGGGGGATATTAAAATAAATGGACAGAGAGGTTTTTAAAAATGGTCTGAGACAAGGAGAGGGAAACAGGGAACAGTTTCATATTTTGTTCTGTACTAATCAGCTTCTTCTATGGGCTGCTGGCTTCCAGAGTATATAAAACAGGATGATAATGACATCACACAAAGCAACCATAGTGATAGATATAATAAGGAAATATAATGTACCAAAGGAGCACACAGTGGACTTTGAATCTCAGTAACTAGCTCAACAAGTAAGGTGAAAATTTCTATAGATAGCTTGTCTGGCATACAAAAGCTCCCATTCATAATGCTGTACCTCTATTTTAGGGTGGTACAAAACCCCTCTCCACACACAGTGCCTGCAGCTTGTTTTCCGTAGAAATTAAAATGAGTAGAACGAAATTGTGAATGAGTCCAGCTAATTGGATGAGGTGTTGGGAAGAGGATCAGTTTGAAGGTGCTTGTTGCATTTAAAAAAGGTAATAACTGGGAGCTCATGAGCAATTGATTTTAGTTTGCACTAGTTTCCATGGGTAACTGCAGGGTTAAACAGAGAAAAAATTGGGCCAGTATGATATGTTTGGCAGTTCCAAATTTGGAAATTAATACTTGATTGATATAAAATCAGCTGCACCTGGAAGAAAATACATATTTCTGATCTATGATAATAAAGCTTTTTACTTTTTTGTAGGGATGGGGTTGAGACTTTCAGTTTGCCTTTAAAAGTGAATCTACCAAATCCACACTTTTCAAAACAGTGCACAAACTGAAACAAAGACCTTCTTCAAAATTCACACTCTTCTGAATTTTGCAGTGCAGCTCTCCAGTCAAGTAAGATGTACAAAAATGCATATAACCATGGTAAAGTTTGCTTTTTAAAAGTGCATATATTAGTGAACATGACATTTAAAAATAAATTAACTGGGGGAACTTGCCTTGCAAAACTATGTATGTTGGGCAAACTTGCATATAGAAATGTGTATATTAGGAGAAATTTGCACTAAACTGCTGATGAATTTTCATGGGAACTTCATTTTTTAAATAACAAACTGATAATGAAATAAGGACAACTGTAGACTAAAAAATGGGAAACGGTGAGAACCTGGAAATGACGTATTTACCCTACTCTAGAAAAATGCTGTTGAAATCAATCTGGCTTCTCCAGAATAAATGTTTTGATGATTCCAGTTTTTTAAAAATTATTTAAGCCAAAAATGTTTTTGATTTTCACAAGTGCAAAATTGGTCTCAGTGGCATGGAAGTGTTTGTTTATGAGTGCTGAGTAGAACTGCAGAACTATAGAGGTGGAAGGGACTACAAGGGCCATTTAGTCCAAACCCCTGCAATGCAGGAATCTTTTTGCACAATTTGGGGCTCGAATCCACAACCCTGAGATTAAGACTCCCATGCTCTACCAACTGAGCTACCTTGTTTCGTTCAATCGCCCTGGTTCAAAGTGGTTCTTAACTCTCTGTCAATCAGAGTTCTCATTTGTGAATATGCTTCTAAGGCTGTGTACACACAGCATTATAGTCTACATTCAGTGTGCACTGAGATCTTGGTGTGTGTTTTTTTAAAGTGCTCCTGAAACCTGCCTTACTCCTGAAAAAGCAGGTAATGGTAGCAGCCAGCAGTGCTGGACTTGTGCAGTTTCTATCCTTGCATAGAACAGGACATCTTACCATGATAAGCCATATAACCTTGAGGGTTGGCTACTATAATCTACTCAGCGCTGGGCCGCCTTGAAGATGACTCAAAAGCTGCAGTGGCTGCACAATAATGCTTAATCAATTCAAAACAGATTAGCATGGCTATAAGCCATGAGAGTTTTTTGTCGTGACAACCAGAAGTGCAGCCTTCATTTCTAATGACAATACATTTTCAAACCAGAAACCGAATAGCCACAGGGGATTTGCTATCACCTTAGTGTGAATCTATGCAATAGCATCTGTTTGACTACTGTTGGTAGACAAAAAGTTGGTTCAGTTGCTGTCCTAGCCTTATTCTGGTCACAGTGTCCCATTCACCCCTTCCATGTGCATTCCTGTCTAGGTTATCATTCCTATTAACTGGTACGGGTCTTTCATTAACCCTTCTACAAATTTCCCACCTTCATTTTATCTGTCTCGGTCCATGCATCCAGGCTGTCATTATTTTGTGGAAGGGATTCAAGTGGATGCCAGAATTTTAGGTTTGTGCATGTAAAGTGGAGTAAAGGGTTCTGCCGCCCTAACACAACAAACCCACTTTTTTAAAAAACATGGACCTTCTTTCAGCTTGGAAAGGGACAGGGAAGTACCTTGAAACATGTGAGGTGAAGAAATGACTTGTGAGAAGGTATTTAAAAAACCTCACAAGCAAATCAAGATGAATGGAGGATGAATGCTCATTGTTGTATGATCTTCCAGAAATGAATCATAACAAATGATCAACAAAAATGGGATCAGCAAACTTTTACAGCAGGGGACCGGTCCACTGTCCCTCAGACCTTGTGGGGGACTGGAGTATTTTTTTTGGGGGGGGGGAGCGAATTCCTATGACCCACAGATACATTTTAATTAAAAGGACACATTCTACTCATGTAAAAACACGCTGATTCCCGGACCGTCTGCGGGCTGGATTTAGAAGGTGATTGGGCCGGATCCAGCCCCCGGGCCTTAGTTTGCCTACCCAAGGTCTAACTACTGCATACGACTTATACAAGCAAATCAGGATTAATGCTGAATAAACAGGTAATCTGGAGGAGCCCTGGGGTGGGTGTGAATATCATCACCAGTCTTTAAAAATGGGCATCACAGCTCCTGCAAGAATGAAGGGGTTACTCAACAGCACCACTTCCACCTTGTCTGGTCCATCTAGTCCAGCATCCTGTTCTCACAGTGGCCTGTGGGAGCAGAACATGAACAGAAGAGCACCCTGCCCTCCCTTGGATTTCAGATGCATTTCTGCCTCCCAACTGCCTCCAAAATTTAGTTTCTTTTAAAGCTCCAAATGATCTCTTCTATTTGCTTCGTTCAGCTGTTAAACATCAGACTTTGTGGGACACTGCCGGTTTGTGGACAATCATTGGTCAATTCCGGTAGTTCTGAGACAAAAATAATAATAATCAAGCCATTGGAACTTAAATCAGCCTGGACACCAGTGGTGGCTTGTGAGGGCAGCAGTGGCAGTGGTGTTCTCCTGGTAATGGCATGTTGCTCATTGAGATGGAAATGTGATGGGTACCTGCAGAGCTGCTACCAACGTGGAGCTTCTTGGCCTCTCTGCTGCCTCACCCTTCCCTGTCCTGTCAAGCACAGTCTGCTGCTGGGAGGACACCATTCCCCCCCCCGCCCCATGAGCATCCCAGCTTAGCACCCCAAGCACCATACTGGACTAAAGGTCCATATGTAGGGCGATGCCTTATCTAACTCATAGCTGGCTTCTTTGAGGGGCAGTGGCTCTCCAAAGTCCCAATCAGGTTATCTGCCCAAGCCTAATGCTGGAGATGCTATGGAATGAATCTTTGGGGTCTTCTGCTTGCAAAACATGTTCCGTACCTCTGAATGAGTCTTTCCTCTCTGTTCGGAACCAACCCTCTCTAGGAGGGAGGGTGCCATTTGAAATAGGCAAGACCTTTGGGTTTGGTCCCTTGCTCACATGGCTGCATCATTTATACACAGCCCTCAGCTATGTGGGATGTAATCACAGACATTCAGCTCCCATGCGTGAAGGGTAGCTTGGTCACTAAGGAGTCCAGCTGCTGCAGAACAGCCACCTAAAACATTTTCTCTGCGACGATGCTGTCTGTATAGTACCTGGTGCATGTCTGTGACAGCTGAGTCTTCAACACCCTTTATCACCAGAGGCTTTGTTTCCGTGCCAAATCCAAAACACTCCATCCAACGTGTGTCTTGCCAAACACATTTGGCTAGTTATTAATCTGGAACAGACCATATCAAGTTCAAATAGACTTCAGCTGGTTTCAAACAGCATGGAGAAAATAATGACATCTTGAACTTTACATTATGTAGGCGTCTGTGAGCTTCCCGTCAGGTGTTTTAAAGTACCTGTCTCCATTTTTATGCAGTCTTCTGATCTCCTGCTCATATCATGCTACCCAAAGGTCATTTCCATCTACACTTTTGTCTTTCAAAATCAAACTCTAGTATTTACATGCTAAGCTCTTTTTTTTTAAGCTGTTGTTTTCCCCTTAAAACATTTTTAGCCTTACTGAATTAGCACAGATGCTCCAGCTTCTCCCATCTGTATACCTTGCAAATACCAGGTTTGTTTGGCAAGCTTTTGTGCTGTCAGGTTTCCTGTTCTATAATATGATTTCCTTTTACAGGCACTTTAGGTTAAAATACCCCACCAAAAAAATTCTACATGATTCCTGCTTTTGGGCTTATTAGGAGTTTGGCTACCTTACCACAATGAAAAACTGATTTTTCTCATTGAGTCTGCTCATAACACTGAGTTCCATGTGGTTGCTTCAGAATATGAGCTGAACAAGCATATCTCAATTTTGGCATGCACATGGTATAGAAATAATAATAATAATAATAATAATAATAATAATAATAATAATAACACCTGTACTGTAGACCTAAGCTGGTTTAACAAGGAACCTTGAGGGTTGTAATCAAAAATCCCTGGATTCTTTAGGGAAACCACAATGATTTAAATTCTGTAGTGTAGAAATTCCCAAAGTTAGTTTGCAATGGGGAAAGTGGCTATTGAAACCAGCCCGTGCAGCTCATCGTCCCACACTTGGCCAGTGTGTATCTTTTGGTTGTTTTGTTAACAAAACAAAACAAAAAAATACACTACAGATCACTTTTAAAGGCACTCTTGAAAAGTTTCATCTAAGCTCTAACTTATTCATGGACCATGTTCTCAAATGCCTTGTGTGCATCCTGGCTGCTGCATCCTAAGCCTGAATCTATAACTGTCAAGAATGTTCCTCCAGCTTTATAATGTTTAAAAGATGAACACCCAGAACACTCTGCTAAGTTTGAGCTCAGGAGATTTTCCATATTTTTATTTATTTATTTCACACAACCAGGCAACCTGCAACGACTCCCAACTGAACCCAAACAAGCATTAGAATAGATAAATTACATATAACCACCAACTCCAAAAATTGCATTACAAATTCCCAATGGTTGCATCTTTCCAAATACTTTCCCTCCGCTATTATTTTATTTATATGGCTTTATTGCCCTGGAGCTTCAGACTGAATTTAATCCCAGTTTATTTATTTTATTTATTTAAAAGCACATCTAAACTACTTAATATTTAAAATCTCTAAGCAGTGTACAAAAACAAACAAACCTACAAATAATAAAACCATATCATAAAAACAAAGGGGGGAAAAACCTAGAAATCTAGTAATACTAGGGTCGAATCTTATGGACCTGGGCAGGACAATAGGCTTTTACAAGATGTCTGAAGCAAATGATGGGTGATGGCTCATGTATGGCAAAATGAAGGGGATTTCAGAGCATAGGGGCAATAGCAGAAAATCATTGTCTTCTGGTATTCTGTAGAGTACTGTGGCATGAGTAAAATTTCCCCAAATAACCTAATTCAAACAGAGCCAATGTGTTGTCTTCCTGATGTTGTAGAACTACAGCTCCCATCAGCCCAAGCCAGCATGGCCAGCGGCCAAGGATGATGGGAACTGGAGTCAAACAATATATGTACGGCACCACATTGGCTATACTATAGACTAAACTTTAAACTAAGTTTAAATAGTGCCACTAACCATAATGCACAGCTGTCGGGCACGTGGTACACAGCCTCCTAGTATGCCTGTACTTAACGTAAAAGCCCAGCCAAGGATGCTGTAGGGTTTTCAGGAAGCACGAGGCCTTGGGAAGTCTTCAGAATACAGACCATTGGAGTGATGTTTGGTAGAATAAACATCCACCCCATCCCTCAAAAGTAAGGTAAGAGCAACAAAGCCCCCACAATCTGATGAGTATCTCACCAAAATTTTTCACCCCATTTGATATTTTTGAATGCGGTATCTTTTATCATGGATTGACAAAGAATGGTTTTTGGGTGAGAATGGAATAAATCTAAAGTGACTTTTCTTAATAAGGATCTGCAAAGTTTCACTGTTTGGGGATGTGTCTGTGGTATCCCTGAGATCCAGTGCATAAAAGTGCTGTAGTGTAGCTGCCACTACCTTGAAAACATTTTGCTACCGTCCTTTGCTTAAATTGTCAGAAGCAGGTTTCAGGACCACCATTTAATTTGTTTGTTTGTTTGTTTTCCATTGAAACAGATTAACGAATGCAAAGGCTGCTTACCCGTTACTTGGGTGGTTGCGACCAGGCGTGGCGGCTCCCCTGTCCTCCCAGAGCCACACCATTTTGTTTGTTGGCCCCTTCTCCTGGCTGTCGCAGAGCATCCTGGGTTCCCGCCAAACCCAGTCTT